TTTTTTTTTTTTTTTTTCTCTTATCAAAATTTTGTCTAGCCTTTTGTTACTGTAATAGACGAATCAATTTAATGCATTTTGAATTTTTTTTAACACTTTATTTTTATTTTTCTATGCTAATGTAATTCAATACATTCCGAAAAGATTTATTTATCTGACATACCAAAATTTTAATAAATTAAAACTAGGAGAGAATTTTTAGACAACATGATGTACTCATGATATAGAACAATGCCATTGTCACATTCAAAGTTAAAATCTAATGTTGTTACAATGCAATTTTAGCGAATTTACTTTGTGGCCAAAACTAACGAGGGATTTTCAATTGTGCTGTAGTTGAATGTTAATATTGTCTGACTTTTATGTGTAAACCATGGAGTGAAGCATTGAAACTAAAATGAAATTTAGGCAATAAGTTTCGTTTCATATTACTTTCAATGCCTCAATCCATAATTGAAAGATAAAAGTTATTTTTTTTTTGTCATACCTTACAAAAACAAATAATAGTAACATAACTATATAATAAAATTAATAATGCTCAATGGATAACATGGTTTCAAAACATAACATATAATCTAAGTATAAATTAATTACATACTTAATTATAACAAAAATTGGGACGACAACGATAGCAAACTAGTCTTCTCTTATCTTATAAGAAAAAATGTAAACTCTTTCGCAGGGCATACCTAGTAAGATGTGCAAAGGCTTTTTTCAAATGAACATGTTACTTTTAAAATGAACATGTTACTTTACACATGTTCATTTTATAAAGTAACATGTTCATTTTAAACTGCCTTGGCACACGGTAGTAGCACTGAAACTCTTTAGTGCCTGACACGTGGCGCATTTTTGGTTAGGCAAGTTCAAACTTATGGAGTACACATGGCCTTTTTCTTCTGTTTCCCCTTCTGGACTCCCAAGTAGGGCTGAGCATGGGACTCGGAGAATTCCAAACCGTCCCGAAAACTGAACCGAAATCACTCCGAACCGAAAAATATCCGTTGACCATTTGACTTTCTCCGAACCGAACCGAACCGAAAAAATAATTGGAACGGTTCTGGAGATTTCTTAAATATTCGTACTGAGAACCGTACCGAACCGTCTCGTACCGTATCAAACCGAAGAACCGAAATTAAGAACCGAATTATTAAAATAGATGCATATTATTAATATATTTTATGTCAACATTGATCCTATATAATTTGAAAATATTTAAAATGCAAATAAATTAAGATTCACTTACATTTCATGTTTAGTAATACTTGATCTATAATTGAATTTCTCCTATTTAAAAAGAAATAAAATGGAATGAAAGGTTAAAGATATATAAAAAAAAAATATTTAAGCTTTATTTAAAGTTGTCGATACTTAGCTTTAGTTTATCTTATAACTAACATGTTATGGAAGGTTAAATAAATATTACTTTAATATAAACTTGTATTATGTTTTATTTGAATTTTAAATTTTCAATGGTAGTTGAATTTAGTCTTAACTAAAATTTATGGTTACTTCTAAAGTTGATTTAAAAATAAAATCTTTAATATGATGAAGTATTGATGAATGTTGGATTTTTTAAAAATAAAACATATAAACAATAAAATATAACTATTTGGTCATTCAAAAAATTCAAAAAATTATAAGAAATCTCCGAATATCCGAACCGAACCAAACCGAACCGAACCGAACCGAAAAATAAAAATCTCCGAACCGGTCCGAACTGATTTTTTGGTACGGTTCTGGAGATTGAATTTTAGTGATCTCCGAACTTCGATACGGTTCTGGAGATTTATCAATCTTCGAACCGTACCGACCCATCCCAAGTGAGTTGGTATTCTCAATTTTTAAACGCTTCAAACGACGTCGTTTTAGTGTTTTCAGAATTGACTAATTGACGAAAATGCCTTCTTTTATTCTACTTTTTTGGGTTGAATGTGAGACCCGGCGAATTCGTGCTGCTGCAAGTGCTCTTTGGCGGCCCCATTATCGAAAGTCTGGTGGGCACCGTTCTTTGGCTGGTCGTCGTAGCCCTACTGCATCAACGACGGGCTGCAAATCGAGGAAAATTGAATCGATTTTGGTCAATCGAGCGCGGATCGACAGATAAGAAAGTATTTTGTGGTTCTTCACAGAGGCGAAGGCGATGGAGCTGCGCCGGAAACCATGTGAGTCCTCCCCCTTTTGCGCCATCATCTCCAACCTAAGATCCTTTCGATGCCACTTTAATATGTGTTTTATTTGATTTTTTATCCCTCCAACAATGCAAACTCGTTTTGTTTTACCTTGCTTAATTCATATGCGAAACTGCAAAAGTCTTATCTTCGGGATACACACACACACACACGCAATTCAGTGAAAAAGTTACTAGGAATCATTCCTGGGATTTCCATTACCTTTGGTGTGAGACTGGGCAGCGACGATTAGGTTCGGCCGCTGACTCAATCCGGAGATCGTCGGTAAGCATTGGTGCCTTCCGATGGTGAATTTTGCAACTAAATTGAAGCAAGGAGATACTTGCACATGGATTTTACACTGAAACGCTCAGAGGCGCCTCAAGACTTCTCTCAAGATCTCATCTTTCTCCTTAATGTGAGTTTTAGATCCATATTTCTTGATGCTTTTTTAGAAACTTTTCATTTTTTGTTTTCTATATATTGGTCTTGATTTGGGTTTTTTCAATTTTCGTTAGTCGATCTGATTTTTCTGTATTTTTACATTCTTTTTTGTTTTAGTATGGCTTTTCTTTATTGTCGGGCTCCAGAGTTGTACCCTTCATCTATTTTCTCTAAATTTCTGTCCTGGCAGAGCTATATTGAAATATCCTCTACTTAGTAATTTGTTTGATGCGTCATTATGGAGATGTTTTGTAATCAAATGTCCAACTTCATTGATGTTTACCTTTATTTTTTTCTCTCTGGTACGTAAGTGATTGTAGTGTTTGCCCCTCAATTTAGGTCCTTTATGTTGGAAAGTTCAGGTCTTTAGAAAGAAAAGAAAAAAAATCGACTTTGTTAATGGTGATCACCTGTTGATTTGAATTTGGGGTGTTTATGATGATGTTGTAGCGCTGACTAGTGTTGGGAAGTGTATTTCCCTCGTGTGATGATTGACGATGGTTATGGCTTCTCAGGTTTGTTTACTTCGGGGTTTTTCTTTTCAGACAGGTTTTAGCCCATCTCGCTTCGCTGGAGGTGGCGGAGGACGGCCCGAAATTTATAGATCTGTGAGCTTTTTCTTTTTTCTGTGAGGATTTTAGCGACTGATTTGATTACGACACCTTATGAAGCCGGAGGTACATATATGTACATACTTTGTATATATTATGTATGTACACCTTAAATTTGAATGTTATGGCGTCTTGTTTCTTACCCATTGCTGAGGGTGAAAAACTTGAATCGATTATATGTAAATATATCACCAAATGATAATGATGTTACAATGAAGTTGGGCTATTTATCTTTTCAGGTTACACAATTCCTAAGGGGTGGAAGGTATTGATGTGGTTCAGAAGCGTTTACTTCGACTCACTTCGACCATAAAATTATGTGGGCCCGAGAAGTTTGATCCTTCCCATTGGTATGTAAGAAACTAAAATGCATTTCTCTTTGCATTCTTTTTTGTTCCATGACTATCCCCGTCCGTTATGCAAGGCGTACAGAAAGAGTAGACAGGTTTTATACTCCTATCTGAATGATTACAATAACTACACCTGATTTTCAACCAGCTTTTTTTTTTTTTTTT